CAATCCCAAACCGCCATTCTATATTCAGGCCCTCCAGGACCTAGTCCCTGTCCCAGCTCATCCCCTCACAATGCTCCATCCATCCTAGACTACTCTGTGTGCTCCTGTGCCTTCCTACGTTTAGACCTTTACTCCAAAGTGCCCACTCACTAAAATCCTCCCGATCTTCTCTGATACCTCCTCCTTTAGGAAGTCATCCTGCTCTTCCCCACTTTTCCACCATCTTCTATGGTCAGTTGTCAGAGCCCAGAGACCACAGCTGCATTTATTCCTATCTTCCTCTCTGCCTCAGTTCTTCAGTCCGAGGCACATCTGTGTCCTGTAAGGCTGGGGTTGGACTGGCTCCTGTACTCTGACTGCCTAGGGAGGCAAGGGGTTCATGACACCTGAGCCCAGGAAGCTGTGCCAGGAGATCACGTGCCCCTTCTCACCTCCTTCCTTTCCCAATCCTCCTCAGATTTCACTGGGAATAAAAGGGAAGGCAGCCCCAACCCAAGCCCTCCTGCAGAGTTAACCCTATGGGAGCCAGAGGATCTCTGAGTCCTGCAGGAGAACTGTGGGTTTTAGAGGTTAAACCAGCTCTTACTCCCCAGCCCTTCTACAGACGAGGAGACCATGGGCCAGAGAGGGTGGGTGGCAAATGCAGGGTCACACAGCTAGGACTCTGGGGAAGTGGGAGTGGGAGAAGGCAGTTCCATCTCAGGTGTCCACCCATTCTTTGTCCCCAGCTCCCAAGAGGCGTGTATGGAATGTTGGAGGGAAGTATGCCAGAGGGAGTGTCCCCCTCCCAGGCCCTGGGAGAAGAAGGGCAAACCTTAGCGGGGGAATGTCGCTTCGGAGTTTCATTCCAGCCACACAGGTCCCACCTTCGATGCCCCACCGTGCTGTCCTCCCTAGCATGCCTCATGCCCTCCTGTCATCCCTTCCTATCAAATCCTGCAGTTGACCCTGGCCAGTCAGCCTAGGGGGTGGTTGGAAGCCTTCTGGTGCTGTGGTCAAGTAAAAAAGTCAAACTTAGATTCCAGGACCAGCTTGGCCTTTCTCTAGCTATGTGACCATAGAGTGGTCATTTTCTTTCCCTGAGCCTTAGTTTCCTTATCTGTGAATTGGGAGATATTGAGAGGAGGAGGTAATGGAAGATAATTCATGAAAAGGACTTAGCACAGTGACCAGTGGATGGTAAATTGTCAGTAAATGTCACCTCGTGAATTTTCCCGAGGAGGGTTTGTGGAGGTGGTGGAGAGATGCTGAAGACTGTTTTTTAAGGGTCATTAAATTCAACATCCTCTTCTGCTTCAGATTCCTTCTAATAATTCTGAATTTCCTGGGGGGTCGGGGGAGAGGGGTTAAGAGGAGGGGAGGGATAGCTTGCTGTGCCCTGACTAGAGGAGGCTTTGAGGTGGGACAGAAGGGAGGCACAAGAGGGGCCACACGCCCAGGTGTGGAGGGCAGAGGAGCACGCAGCCAAGGGAATGTGTCGGATGGAGGGGCAGTCATCATGAGAAAGAGTAAAGCCTGGCTGGGGCCAGGAGCAGTGAGGTGGGGCAGGGGCTGGTGGGGACCTGAGCCAAGTAGCAGCGTGTGACCCCTCCAGGGGCAGGAGGAAAGCTTCCCAACCTCCCCACTCACTTCCAGGCAGGCTGTGCCTCTAATCAGCCTTTCTGGATGATAGGAAGTTCTAGAAAAAAACCTCTTCATCTTCTTTAGGCAAAGTGTCTTAATCCATTTTTCAAGGTGGACTGGGAGGGAGGTTCACCCAGTGGAAAGGGAAACAGACCCAACACCTCATCTCTGTGCCTTCTTCCCGAGTCGCGTTCTTTCCACAGCCCTCTTTGAAGGAGCCCATGTTTCCTTAAAGTTCTGACTTGTTTAGATTGAAATCAGCCCAAGTTCTTCATCTTCTTTAGGCAAAGTGTCTTAATCCATTTTTCAAGGTGGACTGGGAGGGAGGTTCACCCAGTGGAAAGGGAAACAGACCCAACACCTCATCTCTGTGCCTTCTTCCCGAGTCGCGTTCTTTCCACAGCCCTCTTTGAAGGAGCCCATGTTTCCTTAAAGTTCTGACTTGTTTAGATTGAAATCAGCCTCCCTGAAACCTGAGCTTGGTTCCTATTCCCTTGGCTGCTCCCGTGTGTGTGCACACGTGCAAGTGTGCCCTTCTCAGTGTTTTTGAGTATGCTTGTCTTTCTTCTCAGTATGTCTGGTTACATCTCTGTGGGTCTGTGCCTCTGGCCCACTATGTCTCTGTCTCTTTCTGTGTCTCTGTCACCACCTCACTCTTTGTGTCTGGGTCTTTCTTTGTACTTCTAAGTGAACATCTTGTGAACCTCAGAGCCCATCTCCATGCATACCTAGGAGTGACTCTCCTGCCAGCCCAGCCCCGCTTGTCTACCCCAGGGCATGCCTCCTTCTTAATTCCTGGTAATGAGCTCCCTCCTTCTTGCTCTTTCCCCTTGATTTTGTTTGTCTGAAAACCTGGGTGGGGCACCCCCCAGGCTTGAGGAAGCAGGGTGGAGTAGAGTTGGGTGGGGTGGGAAGGGGAGAGGAGGGACTACTCTATCCGTTCAGAGACCCCGGCAGTCAGAGCCGCCCTTGATCCCCCAAGGAAGGGTCTGTGAAGGTGCTGGCCTAGGCAGGGCCCTGTACCTCCTCACTGGAAGGAGGGAGCCCGTCTTGGGGTGGAGGTCCTGGGTTGTGGACCAGGGAAGAGAGACTGAGGCACTGGGGCCTTTAGGGAGGGGGCTCACCCAGAACACCTCAAGTCCATAGGGGCAGAGGAGTGGGTACATCTGCCCAACAGTTGGGGGTGGCTTCCTCCAGGCCTCTGTGTCTCCATGCTGGGGCTTCGACCTTTGGTGCCATGTTTATTTGAGGTAAGGGTGGCAGTGGGAACAGAGGCTCTGTCTTGTCTGGGCACCTTGGCTGTCCGAGAGTGGCACTCACTTCTTCTTTGTGTAAAGTAGAAACTGAGGCTCAGACCCTCAGTCAGGGTCACAGAGCAGTGCAGCAGAGCCTGGACTATAGAATCCAGTCTTTTATCCCCAACCTGGCTCCTGTAAACCCTGTTCTCACACAGCACTTTGCAGCATCTCAGGGAACAGGGCTCTGGGTCCAGATCGCCTACATTCCACACCAGTTCTTCGCAGCCATGGGACCTTGGAGATACAGAGTCTCCATTTCCTCCCTATCCACTCTCCAGCTTGCTCTGTGCTCGAGGAGGCTAATATCTATGGGCTGCATTGCCTGGGCCTCTTGCCCTCTGGCTTCCAGTTGGGTTTAGCAAGTGGCACACGCAGCTAGGAAATAGGGCAGGGAGTGGGGGTATGGTGGGGTGGGGGGAAAAGGTCAGGGTATTGATGCCTTTTCCAGGACTTCCACTGAGTTCCAGTAACACTGCTCTCTCCTCTGGCCTCCTCTGGCTGAGAGGGAAGTGGCTGCCTACTGTTAGTTCCCAGGCCATCCCTTGCCGTCCTGTGATTCTGCCCACCCACCCCTGCTCGTAAATAGTCCCTTCATAAACTCTCTTCAGTAAATCCCAGGATATACTGTTTCTTCTGGATCCCTGACAGAGTCTACCTCTCTGCCCTTTAGTTTCTTCATCTGTAAAATGGGAATAATAACAGTAGTTATTTTATTAGGTTGCACAAGGTAAAGATTAAATGAGATAACACATATAGAATGATGCCGGATGTAGCAGTAAGAGCTGTAGAAGATAAAATATTATTATTATGCTTCCTTGTGAGCTCCTGTGTAGGTTGAGGGTGGTCATGGTCATGAATTAGGGGTTTAGAGGGTACTGCATAGGGAATCAGGGGAGAGAGTCAATCCCAGGGAGTTTGAAGGCAGAAGCACAATCCCAGTCTGCGTTTTCTAATCTTGTTTCACAGCCTTACCAGGAAGGCCTTCCTCAGGTTTCACTGTCATCCTGCTTCAGTTCCTCAAGAATGGGGCAGAAACCAAGATAATTATGACGACTCTGGGAGCCTTTTCTAGCTTTCACCACCACACTGGGAGTTCCAACAGCTCTGCGTATGGCCAAAGCATAGGAGGCCTGGATAGAGGGGAAGCACTAATAGGAGAGTCTTATGGAACAGACGAGATTGCTGAAGGTGAGGTTATGAGTGGGCTGAAAACTGACTGACCTAGTGTGGAGAAGGGGCGGGTGTTACCTTTCCCCATCTCTAGAGCTCTCTGGGGATAAAGCCTTAAACCAGATTCAGTCACCTCAACCAGCTTCTCCGAAGGCCCTGTGAAGAGTGGTGGGCTTTTGTCAGGCTTCCTCACTGGACTCAGAGCCAGGGAGGCCTGGCTGGGAGAGGCTAGGCGGGGGGAGAGAGAACTCTGGGAGCCCCGATAGTCATCTGGACATGGTCCAGTGCTCATCTCCATGGAGATGCCCCCCCCCCCCATAGCTGAGGAGGTACCTGGAATGTCC